GTCTAATGGAGCTGCCGAACGTGCCAATCAATCTCTGGAGCAGTACCTTCGTTGTTTCGTATCCCACCATCAGAACAATTGGTCTGACCTTCTTCCTTGGGCTGAGTTTGCTCGGAATAACGCTACTCATGATTCTTCCGGCAAGAGTCCTTTTTACGTTGTATATGGCCAACATCCTGTTGTTCTTCCGGCTGCTTTCTCCTCACAGGGCATGCCAGTTCTGGATGAACATTTGGCTAATTTGCGTAATACTTGGGAGCAGGTTCAGCGTTCTTTGGTGGATTCCGCTGCTCGCCAGAAGGTGCAGGCTGACAAGCATCGCAGGGCGGCTCCTTCTTATGTTGTGGGGGACAGGGTTCTGCTTTCTACGCGAAACATTCGCCTCCGGGTGCCTTCTATGAAATTGGCTCCCCGCTTTATTGGTCCTTATCGTATTCTGCATAAGGTTAATCCTGTTTCGTATGCCTTGGGTCTCCCTAAGAATCTGCGTATTCCTAATGTCTTTCACACCTCGTTGTTGAAGCCTTTCGTACGCAACCGCTACACCCGACATGCACCTCCTCCCCCTCCTGTTTCTGTGGAGGGTCATGAGGAATTTGAAGTTTCTGCAGTTCTTGACTCTCGTTTCCTTAGGGGCCGACTTCAGTACCTAGTGCATTGGAAGGGCTATGGGCCTGAGGAGCATAGTTGGATTTCCGCTGATGCGGTTCACGCTCCTCGTCTTGTGCGCTCTTTCCATTCTCGTTTTCCTGCCAGGCCTGGCCCTCCCCGCCCGGAGGGCGTGTCCTCAGGGGGGGGTAATGTAGCGGTACTTACCCTTTCCAGGGGCCGGCCGGGGTCCTCTGTTCGAGCCGCGCGCGGTCCTGCTGCTGCACGAGCCGCGCGCGGCTCAGCCGACCGCTGTGACTAGTAGCGGTCACGTGTTCCACCTACTCTAAGAGCGCGCCGCGGGTATCGGGCGCGCTCTTAAAGGGACAGTGGGTGCCTAAATTGGAAAAGGCATCCCATTGGTCCCTGTCATGCCACACTCCCCATACACTTACCTTTTGGGGGCGTGGATGTGACAGGGACCAATCAAATTAGATGTTTAGGTATTTATACTCACCTTCTTTCCTTTGTTCCTTGCCCTATCGTGGTTTCTGTATCAGTTCCCTTTAGCGCTTGTTGTGTTCAGTTGTGTTTCTCCGTATTGATCTTGGCTTTGTTTCTGACTACGTTTTCTCTTTATCCTTATCTGTTCTGGTTGTCGGCTTGTTGTTTACTGTGTACCAGACCCCGGCTTGTCCTAGTTTACGCTGTCTCTCTGTGCCCTTGATTTCGGATTGTTCCTGACTCTGTCTCCTCTCATATACGTCGAGTCCGGCCATTCTAAGGTCCGGTAGACGTATCTCTCCTCTGTGTTGTCTTTTGTTTAGCTGAATCCTGCGTGTTGGGGTATATTCTCGTTACAGTTTTGTAGTGTATGTATAGGGGTATAATGTGTACATAGGGGGTGTATAGTGTGTATTGTGGTATAGTGTGAACAGAGGGTGTAATGTGTGTTTAGGAGTATAATGTATGTGTATAGGGGATATAGAGTAGTGTGTAGCATGTATATATATATATATATATATATATATATATATATATAGTGTGTGTGTGTGTGTGTAAGTAAATAGGGAGTGTTGTGTGGGTTTATTTTATAGGGGGTATATAGTGTGTGTAGTGTCTTTCTGTGTGTGAGTCCAGGGGTTGTAATGTGTGTTCTAATATAGGGGGGTATAGTGGAGTGCAGAGAGTGTATTGTATGTTTATAGGATGTATAGTGTGTAGTTCGTGTGAGTGTAGGGGTTGTAGTGTGTTTATAGATGGTATTGAGCAGTAGGCAACCTTCGGCACTCCAGATGTTGTGGACTACATTCCTCATATGTCTCTTACACCAATAATGCTGGTAAAGCATCAAGGGAGGTGTAGTCTAAAACATCTGGAGTGCCAAAGGTTGCCTATACCTGATATAGAGCATAGGATAATGCAACCTTGGGCACTCCATATGTTGTGGGCTATATTTCCCTTGACACTTTGACTGCATTATGGTTGCGGCAGCATTATGGCAGATATAGTCCACAAAATCTTGATTGCTGAAGGTTGCCTATCCTGTTATAGAGTGTGTGTATGTTTATAGAGGGTATGGATTGTGTGTACTGTGTGTGAGCGCAGGCATTTTAGTATGTATATAGGGCATATAGAGTGTGTTTGTGTGTGTAACTAAGTGCAGGTGGTGTTGAGTTGAGTTTTTAATAACTCAATTATTAAAAAAACACATTTACTCCCCCCCTCCCTATTGCATCGGGAGAGGGGGCATGCTGATATCTGGTCTGGTGGTCCAGTTATTTGATCTGTACTTCCACAGGGTGAGAAGACAGATGCTGCCATACATGCTGCCCGAAAGCTGCCTAGTTCACTCTCCAGTAATTTAAGCTCCCCTCTTGCCCTTGAAGGGACCGCGCTCTCGCATATGGCACTGCATGGACCCTGCCAGCCTTTGTCCATGCCATCACGGCCCACCAGTTTGCCTGACAGCCAGCCGAGGCCTGATTTACAGGGAAAAAAACAGAAAGCACAGAGCGCCACAGTCACTATATAGGCAATGCAAATGGGGTCAAAAGAAAAAGAGTGGAGTATAATGACAAGGATAATAGTAAGAACTTATAAAGGATGAAATCCTCTGTCCCCTCAGGGCTGAATACGGACTTAGATATATTGGCCTTTATGGATTGATTTTATTATTATTACTTTTATTAATTGATTTTTTTTATTTTTATTATCTATTTATATATTTTTATTATTATCAATTTATATTTTTTTATCAATATTGGTTATCAGTATTATTATTATTATTGTCTTGCTTGTGGCCCTTTACTTCCTTTTGATGATGAGAAAATTTAATTATTCCAAATGGATATTAAAAGCATTTGTATTTTTATATTAAATATGAACTATTTGTTACCCTCAATTTTATGATGTCAATTTTATGCCTTATAGCTCATTTACATTTATTCTTGTTTAATAACGGATTATTGATGTGAAAATTCTTAAATTTCTGTTTATTTATCCTGGTGTTCTGCTATTTTAGGTTTTTTATTATGTATCATACTATGTATTTGTTTTTAAGTATTTGAGACAATTATGTATTTTGTATGTTCTTTGTTGCCTATTAAGAATATAAATAGATTCATTCTCATCCAACATATACCCATATTTATTATTCTACCTTTATACGTTTCTTTAATTTATTTAATTTATTTAATTTATTTATTTTATCTATTTTTTCTCCCCTCACCAGCACTATTTATATTATTTACTAGGCTGGTAGTAATAATTGTTAGGGGTCAGCTGGGGGTTAGGCAGGATGTGTAAACACAGATCGCAAAACTTTCAAGGACGTTTTTCTAATGGAATGTCCTTATTGCAACTGTGTATATTGTCAATAAAGTTTTTCTGCATTCCGGCATGGTCGCGCATGCGCAGACCAGTCACGCGTGCGTCATGATGTATGACGGTGCGCGTGACGTGGCGCACGCATGGGCGACGGCGGAAGTTACCACACAGACCGGCGGATTTAAAAGAGAAGAGGTTCCTGAAGTGAGGAGATTCTCCTGAGGAAGTCGGAAGACGAAACGCGTTGAGCCCATGTTCGGACCCTGCAGCTTGGTATTAGCAGTTTTATTTTACATATTTACTGGTTTTTGAAGGCTTGTGCAATAGCTTTGTCCTATCACTTGTAATGGAAAAGATACAGATTTTTTACAGTAAGCACAGATCCCCTCCTTGGCCTTTTCTCATAATAAACAAAAAAGAAAGAAATGTAAACAATTGTGTAAATCCAACAAGCGATATCTACAGATCAGAGCTGTTTTTTAAATTGGAGGTTTGTAACGTGGTCTGCAGTGTAACTTACAATTTCAGCCAATTAACACTGACTTCACAAAATTCACTGTGCAGCAAAGCTCATGACTGCGTCCTTGTGAGAAAGATAATTCTTAATTTTCAAAGTTGTTTATTGAGCAGAACAATAATACTGAGAAATATGCAGAGAGCTGCAAAATATAGAGCGGACACGCAGGTCCGAACATTAAAGTCAATGCGTTCATAGTGTACAATAATATACAACTATACATCTGTTGATAATGCAGGCTAGGTATCAGCGAAACATGCTACGTAGCGTAATGCAATCTGAGAGAGTGTCTAGGCTATTTCACGGCCTCAGTAGAGATAGATAATTCTTATCCTGTTACACCCATTCATTTTCTTGCCAAGGCTTAAAATTTATAGCAAAATGTTAATTCTCATTGTCTTCTTTTTTTTTTTTTCAATTCTTTATTTTAGTGGTGCTTTAAGGGAACAACATGCAAGTATCGACATTTTGACATTTCCAAGAGTAGAATGCGAGATAAACACAATATATATCGAGTTGTCAGCACCTTTTTTGTTAATATAGTAGAGAAATAACAGCAAAGTTATACAAGATTTACAAGAAATAGTAACCACTGGTCCGCACAGTAGAATCTGAGAACATCAGATCATACAAGAAAAGAAAAGGGGATAGTCTCCACTGGGCAGTGCTTCACAAAATATTATTGCCAACCTATTAGGTAAATAAAGCACACCTTGTTGTAAGAGAACCGTGGGTTATTCCCAAGACTGCTTAGGCAATGTCTGGGGGTGGGAGGCTGAGGTAATATGAGCAAAGTTAATGTGCATGGGAATTTCTATGTTTGGGGACAGTGACTGTGCGGCACATATTAAATGCTTACAAAGTAAAAGAAAATAAAAAAACACAAGCTAAAATGAAACACATGTTAATAAGGCATATCAATCTGGATCTGTGCGCTGGCTATTAAACACCTTCGCATGGTAGGAGAGTCCATCGGCAGGTTGTTGGTCAGGGATGATAGGGGTGGTAGTCCTAGAAAGTGCTGTCCGAGTGAGGGATGGGGAGAAAAAAAAAAAAGGCAAGTTATTCAGCCGATGCCTCTTCTCAAGGCCCATTCCTTCCATGTGCTAGGAGGTGCTGTTGGGGATTGCCCAAGCATGTCCCTGAGTGTCAGCGTGCCAGAGCTCTGTATAGGTGGCAGCGTGTTGGAATAAACTTGCCCCCGGACAGGTCCTTTCATGGTTGGGGAAGCTGAGCGAGGTGAGAGATGGCTCGAGTGCTTCGCACCGCACGGGCGCTTCACTTGTTTCTTCCGTTGGAAGAATCGGGCGTATATGGCATTTCTACCGCTAGCAGAGCGAGGTAAGGTAGCCCTCCAGCTCCCGGTGTGTACTATGGGCTGCCCCTGGGTGCCATTAGCCATGGTGCTTTGGGTTTTCCCTTTTGGAGGGTAGTGGAGCGTCTTGTCTGACTGCCGTTGCAGGTGGCAGCGTGGTCTCCATCTGCACGGGAAATGTTTCGGGGCTGTGCCCCTAACAATCTTCTTAACGGGCAGACGTGCACTTGGCACTGTTGGTGTAGGAGGTGCTGGTGTCGGAAGTCGTGCAGGTTGGCTAGCTATTCTGTTCCAGAATTGTTCACATATGGCATCAAATCTGGCCCTGAAGATGGTGCTCCATTCCTGGCTCTCCAGATCTGCTTGTGAGTGTGGAGGCACTGCTGCGGCAGCCATTTTGGGTACGTCGCTTGGTTTCATGCTTGCCACTGAAGGCATGTGCTGTGGAGACAGGCTTACCCAGTGGGGACCGGGATAACCCCCACCGGTCCAGAGGGGGGGGAGAGTACTGCGGGGCCCCGCTGTGAGTTGTGGAGCGAGGAGATCGGCCACCTCTCCCCAGCTCCACTTCCAGTAGGCCGCAGTAGGCCCGTCTGGGCATTCAGCTACAAAAGTTGTCGAGTGAGGTATCGATCTGCTTGCCCAAGGGACCCTGACCCAGATGGGTAGCATTTGAGTTCAATGCCCCAAAATCTGCCAAAGTCGGAGGAGCTCAGACTCTGCATGTCTTACCAGCTTGATGGTCAGGCTCCACCCCCCCTCTCATTGTCTTTTTTAACCACACTGCAGAATTGTATTTGAATTAATTTGTATGAAAATCTGAAAGTATATACCAATGCTGGCAGTTACATTTTTGTGCTAAGCAAAACCCACGCATTTTTCATGCAAAAGTTACGCATAAAAGCATCTTCGCAGATTGATCATGATATTTTCTGGACATTGCTCAAGAAAATAAACTTTGATTTTATGCACTTTACATGACTACATTACATTTTGCAGTTAAATGACTGCAATTGTTTGAGTAAAAAAAAAAAAAAAAAATAAGCAGAAGAGTTATACGATTGTTTGGTGTGTTCTAAATTGTATTGCAAGTTATGTAATAAAAGTAATAAATAAAATCTAATGTGTTTTTGTAATTACTTTTTTAAGAAAAACTATATATTAAAAACAAACTGCCCTCTTTAAATAAGGAGCCCGACACTAGTGCTAGAATTTGTCTCTTTACATAGACACTATTTTGAGCACATGTATTGCAGAATATATTTATATTGTTGGTTATAGAATACATTTTGACATTTGTCTTACGGAATGTCACAGAATTCTGAACTTAACATAACAGTTTTAAACAAAATAGTCAACACTTTTAAACTAGCAAACACTTAGCGGAATATTCAGAAGTCTGAATGATCTCATACGCAATGGCGCAAAACGACTTGCTACAGTACGGGACCATTCGGACTGCAAAATCTAGACTTTGATCACAGTATGTAACAATGCCCAGATAATGCGTTATTTGGTCTTGGTTTTAACCTCCCTATTCTGTAAAAGAGGGCTAGGAAAGGTTATCACAATCACAGTCCGTGATTAGGCATTGTGCATTACAATAGAATGTACAAAAACTGTTAGGGTTCCTTTGATAGATAAAAATTAGATTGAGCATACTATATGAGAAAAAAAGGCAAATTAAAAATGTCTATGTATAGCTTTTCTCGTTGCTTTGAAATATATTGAGCTTCGTCACTTGCTTACTGTGCTAAGTTTCATATCAATACACATGCAATGCATATAGCTGAGCTAGTCAACAATCATTTCTAATTAGAAATTACATTTAACATCTATCACATTACTAAAATAGGAGAAGCTTTAATTAGTCAGTGTAACCAAGGCAGGAATTCTGGAAATACAAGTTAGTTATGTTCTCCAATAAATGCATGAATGAAACAACTGAAATGCTTATTTAATAAACTCACTGAGTATTGAAGGGGTGATCAGTGTATTTGTTCCTAGCCTAAGGTAAACATGTAGGGACACCTCAAGACTATGTCATTAGAATTTGAAAAAAACTATTTACACTTGGAAGTCAGAAAAAAGATCTGATATATACTGTCACAGCAGGCTGGTTTACACCACCTTTATTGTGGTTTTCCCAGCAAGCACTTATTCTAACTGCATCACACAATTAGTTTTATACAAATAAAACCTGCTAAAAAACACTTTTGAGAATGATCTTAGATGTCAGTGTTAAATGAGTGTGACTCTTGGGCAAAATATTTTTGGAATCCCCATTTTGTCTCTTCAAACACATATTGGCCACACACTAGCCACTTGCAAGCATCTAATTAGCCACATGCAAATATAGAATTTTCTATTCACGCACAACTAATTAACACTATTCACATACACACAAACTTCAAAAGATGCATAAATCATAACATTCCGCTTACACCAACCTAATTAGAAAATTACATACATATGTAGACACACACGAAAACACATTGCACATACATAGGAGTAAATTGGTACATATGTGGATGCTAATAAACCTTTAGAGAAACAGCTAGCACACATATTAACACATATATTTAAACACCCTAGCTCCCAGGTGCCCATTAGCACACATATATGTACATATGCTACCACATTTATACTGACACTTCTAAGCTTGCATATACTAACACAACAGCATGCATTGATAGACACACATCCAGGCACACATTTGCAGGCAAGCAGACATATACTAGCAGATATCCATGCAAATGCATACAAGCAGACCTACACTGAACAAAATTCTAGATGCAACACTTTTGTTTTGTCCCCCCATTTTTCATGAACTTAACTCAAAGATCTAAGACTTTTTCTATGTTCACCAAAGGCCTATATCTCTCAAATATTGTTCACACATCTGTCTAAATCTGTGTTAGTGAGCACTTATTTGCCAAGATAATCCATCCACCTCACAGGTGAGGCATATCAAGATGCTGATTAGACAGCATGATTATTGCAAAGGTGTGCTTTAGGCTGGCCACAATAAAATGTACACAAGCACAGATACAGAGACACAGATAAGCAAACACAGGCACTCATACACATGAACCTCAGAGCACCCACAGCTTGGCTGTCATAATACCTGTCCCTCATATACACGGATATAGTGATGTCTCTTCAGTGTTCTGATGCACACGAGATGTTCCCCACATGTACCTTGCTTCCTTGTGTCTAATTTTGATATAATTTATGGCATGGAACAATAAAGTATGAAAGAAAGAATGGGCACAAGAAAGAAAGTACAAAAAGAAAGAAAGAAAGCACGAAAGGAAGACTGCCCAACAGAAAGAGAGCACAAATGAAAGAAATTGAGAAAGAAAAAAAAGGCACATTCTAGGCCTTAACCAATATCATCTGTTGAATTCAGAATATCAGGTCATATTTCTTTATAATCAAAGTTCTGACACATACAACATCTCAGAATGATAAAAGCATGTCTGTAATGGAAGAGATGTATTAGTCTGAAAGGAAACAGGGTCAGCATACCATCAGATATATTTAGCCTGTGTTTAACTTTCAGACTTACTTTCTTGTGGATTTGCATTATGCATTTGTTTCTCGGAATGAAAGATCAAAAGGTAAATTACTTTTTAGTGTTGCTGAATCCAATTTTTTGGGAAGGAATAATTAAAATTTATAGCAAAATCATTAAAACCAATGTACTTGATGTTGCACTGAAAGCAATTACTATTCAAACGTAGGTTGGGCTTTTGTATAAGAAGAAACAAAACTATAACAATATTAAATTTCAGTTCTCTAGGATAAAATCAGCCAGGCATCAACCAACTCAGAAATATTTGCCATTGATGTTAAGAAATGCCAGGATATATATCTTTGGAATTGGCTTATTTTATTATTTTAATGGAAATGGAAAATAGTTTAGGTAGATATGGACATTGGTCCAACATTAGACAGAATTGATAAAGAAAAAAAGGTAAGTTTTCTCTCCTAAGCATATAGAAAGATAAGTAAATGTGTATAATAACAATAACAATTTGTAATAAATGATTGGACCCTTAATTTATAAAAGTATCAAAGAACAGTGAGCCATGCTTGTTATAAGGTGGAAACAGATATGCAATTAACAGATTTTGAAAAGGAAATGATGACCTGTTCTATAAGCACCCATACCACTTCATCTCATTGAAGTGGCCTGGGTGCAGTGTCCCTGTTCCCTTAACCCTTGAAGTGCTTCCTCACTCCTCACAGAGTTTGACTCCATAATACCAATGCTGGACGTCCTCATGTTTTGCATGTGAACGCTCTGTGTGTTGAAAAAGCCCATAAGAAAGCATTGAGTCAATGCCTAATGCATGCTTGCTGGTCACCGTGCATCAATATTTGTTTCCCCTCATTTTCTGATGTTGGAGGGTACCGAACTAGCACTGAGGGACGTTAACACAGTAATCAGTTAAGTGTTTAAAGGGTTATTTAACCCTTTACATGGCTGGGAAGGACAGATGGGAGCAAAGTGACACAGATATGTATTTCTAACACCATAGTGTTGCTTTAAAGATAAATTAAAGAACAGGTGTTTACTTCACGTAATCAGGTAATTCCTCCCTCACACAGTGAGCATGCTGTACTGATATATCAGTAGAGCTTATGTTGTGTTTAGAAGTTGCACATGCCTGTAAAAGTATTACTTTAGGGGGTGTTAGTTTATCTTTATGCTCTTTTCTCCTAACTTGGGTGGAGCTTTCATCAGTTCCTGTTTTCCTAATTCTATTTTCATATAGTTACTTATATCTATGTTTTTTTGCTTTAATGAGCCCTTCCTTGACCAGCATATGGCTGCAACCTTATGTCCATCCTTGTCTTCCATTTGGTCTCAGTATCATTTTTTGAATTTTTCACACACAAATGGCACTTACATGGATGATATAATTGTTGTGATACGTTTTACTGTTTTGAAACACTAATATTTGTGTTCACGGAAGTCTCCTGAGTATAACAGTACCCCTCATGTACAGGTTTTATGGTGGTTTCAAAAGTTACAGAGTCAAATATAAGGCTTGCGTTTCAGTTTTTTCACATTGAAA